TTGAATGAACAGAGACTGAACTGATCTCTTCTCCCACTCCATGCCCAGAGATTAAAGATTCAGTACTGCCCCTTCTCTTCACCTAGTCTCCACGGACAGGACGGAAGCCAACTCCACAGGTTAGGAACCTCTCCAAGGCACAGTGAGGAGCTTGAGGAAGAAAGAGGGGAAGGAAGGATGGAAGGTCTGGGCCTGTGACAGAGAGGGGGCCTCCAAAGTGCAAGCTGAGGATGGGGACAAACTTCTGAAAAAGAACACTAGACCAAGCATTGCCCATGCTCGGAGATGCCCCCAGGGGGCATCTTACCCAGTTTAGCTGTTCTTTCCATTCCCCCATCCCTGCAAACTGTCTCTCCTTTAAATCCCAATGCCACACACCATCACAGGGACACAGGGAACAGGCCCTATGGAAGTAAGAATCAAATTGGTGACATCAAAGTGATAGAAAATAGGTTTAAGGTATCACAGTGTGAAACAATTTAGAGGAAGAAAAAAAAAATCAAATCCTGTCACCTTTACAGGATAACTAATCATGGACATATTGCAGGAAAAGAACTGTTCTTTAAGCTCCCTCCTAAATGAGTACCCCGGGGCGCCTGGCTGGCTCAGTCAGTAGAGAATGTGACTCTTGATCTCAGGGTCATGAGTTCCATCCCCATGTTGGGAGTGGAGCCTACTTTAAAATAAATTAAAATCTAACTGAATACCCCTGAGCAGGAAAGTTTTGAAAAATCTAGCCCCTTTCTGTCGATATGCATGTTCTTCAAATGGACGTAACCTTCACATCAGAGTCAGAGATGAACCCCTAGAATACATATATTTAGAAACCCCAGTACTCCCAGACTTTCACTATCTCCATGCCACCTCCGAGATTCTCTCCAATACCCTCTTAGATACAGATATCACCAGTCCCTAGGCTCTGAGACTGCACACACTGCAGGCAACATGCCCACCGCACTCAGACTCTGAGGGCTCCCGGAAGAGAAGTCTGTTGATACATATAACCATTCTGGGAGGGGCTGGTTCTGGCTGTAGCCACAGGAAGGCAGGCTAGAGTTTAGGGGACACTTTCCCCCCGGGAGCAGGGAAGGTTGCAGGGAACTTAGCTTAGGAGCGACTCTGGAAACACACACCCCACACACACATATTGTCTGGACTTAAGTAAGGATGATTCTGGGAGGCAGATGCAAGAGACAGACCAACACAGCTGAGAAAAGGGAAAAAATTTTACTAGGATAAGAAATCCCACAGGGCTTAGATGGGGATGTCTCACAGGCCCTGTTCCAACCATCAAAACCTACATCTTTGCACCCCAAATCTCCAACGCCCCGGGAAGTAGAGGAGACAAGAAAAGAGGAACGGGTGGTAAGAGCGAAGTAAGGTATTAGTGGAAAGTAGGTAGGCACAGACTTGCAGTGACAAGATGGGGAATGGGGTAGGGATAGAGAATGGACTGGGGGACAAATCACAGGGATGGAGCTAAGTGAAAAGGAGGCAGAAACGAGAGTCAATCCCTAGAGACAAGGGAATATACCAGAAAAGCCCAGTCAGACATGGGGCAGAGGAAATGAGGTGCACCTAACAGGGGTACTAAGACAATGGGGTCATGAAGGAGAGGTAGAGAGGTGGCAGAGATATAAGGGAGCTACCAGATAGAAGGGAGGGGAGAGGGAATGGGCCAGAGAAGGGACTGAGATAGGGGAAGAACAGAAGGGGGACTCATATAAGGAACGGACACCATATGGGGGGAAAGATATAGGTGATGGACACCAGAGGAGGGAGGGGGAATGGAAATAAGGATTGGAGGTGGGGGAGGGGGGTAAAAGTGGTGAAGTGAAGGGGGCGGATAGGACCCCAGAGGGTACATTTCTCTGGTCAAAGGCCTTAGTGATGGTCAGAGTCTGGGGCAGGGTCCTAACCTGCCCTCTACTCCCTGCGCTCAATCTTACTTCTATTGCCCCCTCCCCCCCCTCAATAAACACACACATAATTTGGCCCTCCCCCTGCCCTGGTCTCTCCTCCCCCAGCCCATTCCCTCTCTCCTCTCTTCC